TTTATTCCCTTTATTTTCATAAATGGTGTTTCAATAAATCAGCCATGTTGCTACAGTTTTTGAATTCATAAAATGCAAAGAAATATGTTTATATTAACTGGAATTGCTTGTAGTATTTAGTTTGTTCAGTAAGGCGGCAGTGTTACGTGTTTTTCAGCCACAGTATATGTCGTATAGCACAATCAAGTCACTGTATGTTACCTTCAGTTTTTATAAAAAGGTTATATAAATCACATATGACTTAGAAGAAATTCGACTGTATATTTTGACATCTTGAATTTGGGCCTCTATCGGTTTAAAAACACTCTTTCTGAAGCAATGCCTCCAGAAAATATTAGCAGCATTGCTCCTACATTAATCCTTTCACCAGCTTTGCACTGAGAAGCAGCTTGTATAATTAGCTCAGCAGATGTGCAAGTTCTACAAGGTGTCTGCTAATTTCTGCTGACTAGTCTGAAGGAGCTGAGTGGGGGAGTGTTGGGCATATTATGCTGTGATTAATCTATTGCATAAAAGAGTAGCTTCCTTTTTGACTTTATTTGCATAGAATAATCTTTAGGCACTTTCAGGTTTTCCTCTGCCTACATCCCCCAGAATGCTGTGCAGTTCTGGATCAGAGTTCAGTGAAAGTATTGAAAATTATATGCAATGTATTATCTACTGATATTGATCATGGTATATATTGTTATTGATTATTTCTCTTCTTTCTTCTCTTCTTTTTCTCCATCCTCAGCTGAATTTTGTGATAAGTAGACTTAAGGAATACAGCAAACAACATATAGAAAACAGGAATTTTTTATTTTAAATGATTTCCTTGTTGAATAACAGTTACTGATGTTGCATCTGATCAGACATATACAGATGCAACACATCTGCATGGTCATGTTATATTGAGGGAAGACATTTAAACCCTAGTGTGTCATTTTACTGGAAGTAATTTAAGCTAACACGAACATGTACAAACTTCCTCTTGTTACACCAACATAACATATGCCCAAAATACCTGCTTGTAAAACCTGAAAGTGCCTAAAGATTATTCCATGCAAATAAAGTCAAAAAGGAAGCTACTCTTTTATGCTATCCATTAAGCAGCAATGTCTGGGGTGTCACAATACTGGTTTCCTTTCACTAAAAAGAAAGTTCCTGCAGCAGTTCCAAGCAGCCCAAGAGTCAGACCAAGTGCACAGAAGACGGTTGGACCCACACTCATCTCCTCTGTTTCAACATCTAAAGAAAAAGAGAACAGGGGAAAAAATATTTGAAATTCAAGCTACAACACCAGTAGAGACAATTTAAGTTTTGAAGCTATAGAAAAAAAGACTTTCTCACCCCAAAACCTGGTCTTGGGTTCCTCCAGGGCTTCATGTTCCACAGTGCAGCTGTAAATGTCTCCTTGCTTTGGAACAAAGTTCAGGTAGGAGAAAACATGAAACGTCCCGTCAGAGTTGGAAATAGTTTTGATGAAGGGATCTTCCACTGCCACCTCTTTGTCATTCTTGGTCCACCTGATGTCGATGGCAGG